CCTATATATTAAAATGCAAAGTCCCGAATCTTGGGGCATTAACTTTGAGAGAACCACCGGACCGATTTGCATGGGATTTTTTTTAAATGAAAGCCCCTGAGCTGTAGATTTGCAGGCTGTGGTCGTTTTTTCGATTTTCTCAAATTTTCTCCCATAATTTTCTAAAATTGTCTTCGATGCATTAAAACGGAGGTCCGAATCTTTGGACGTTAACTTTGAGAGAACCACCGGACCGATTTACATGGGGTTTTTTTAAATGAAAGCCTGTGATCTGTAGATTTACAGGCTGTGGTCGTTTTTTCGTTTTTCTCAAATTGTCTTACTTTTCTCAACGAGTGAAGTTTAGCTGGACTCAAATTTTCTCCCATTTATTCAGACTAAAGTCCGCATTTTGGAGCATTAACTTTGAGAGAATCATCGGACCGATTTGCATGGGGTTTTTTTTAAATGAAAGCTTCTGATCTGTAGATTTGCAGGCTGTAATTGTTTTTTCGATTTTCTCAAATTTTCTTACTTTTATCGACGAGTAAAGTTCAGCTGTTTTGAGCGGTCATCCGGCCGCTACCTGCTTGCCCGTCCCTAGATACCCCCTCCAGGGTCTCAGCCACCCCTCCCACCACGTTCTTTCGGCTATCTCCGTTTTCTTTCGTATAGCTCTCCTCCACCAACCTCAAAGAAGGAAGTTTGGGTCGCATCGTCGTTCGTCAGTTCGTCACTCGCCACCCACATTCCTTTGCCATCCCTCGGCTGCTCCGCCTCACAGCTTCTTGATATCCTGGCATCTTATTCTCTGCGGCTTGACTGACCCTGACTTATTAACTGCAGTATTACGTATTGCTAACAACACGTATTGTTACAGACATTTTATTCATCATTATTAAGTAGATTCAACTAATTGCTCCGATTCCAATTAAGGTACTGCACCACCATTGCTAGCTGTGGAGGGCGCCCGTAGGGCGTCCGGAGCAGCTAGTAAGACAATATAACAATAATAATATAATAATAAAATGCACCGTATCAAATTCATTTAATTTTGAATACTGTCGAAGCGCTCTGTTTCTCTAGGAGCTCTGCCACTCTTATATCCCCCAGTAAAGTTTGGAAGATCTAATCTTTAGAAGATCTTTTAATTTGGTTTTTTACATTATTTTAACCATGTGTGTTAATACATCAAAGTTCATGATAATTAATCCGTGACAATGATAAGTTACATACAAATCCATGTATGTTAAATTTGTTTCATTTCTCCATTATGCTCATTCTCTCAGTGGCGTGGCGTGCCCCGCGATACATCGATCGTTATGAAACTCAAACCCATGGAAAAGGATCGACAAACAGGGTGCTCGCAGCGAACACCTTAATAATCGACCCTGTACCATAGGTCCAAATGGCAGAAAAATCGACACATCGCAACCCAAGCCACGTACCTGCATTCTCTCTTCTTTTCATGAGCAAATTGAAAATGATACAAAAATTTGTCAGGCCACATTATAACCCAATGCAGAGTTATCGTTGAGTCAGGAATTTATCTCCTTAGGATTCAACGAATTTCTCTCTAGGTGCTTTAAATGCACCTGTTACTTTTAAATATTTAAAAATCAAGTTGGTACAACTGGTATACTGGGCTTTTATTTTACTTATCTCAGGTGAGCTTGTTTCGGAAGTTGTTTCCATAGAGTTCACAATTCTGGGCAGTTGATATTCCATGTTTTCCTTTCGCATTTTCAACTCCTCTGTAGCTTCTTTTTTTTTGAGGTTTCTGCTTCATTCGAGCAATATGTGGCATGCAATGCAGCCAGTAATTGGATCAGCAAAAGCCATACCAACGACAGAAAAGGCATGCAGTGCAGCCAATAGTTGTATCAGCAAGAGCCATAACAACAAAAGAAAAGGCATGCAGTGCAGCCAATAGTTGTGTCAGCAAAAGCCATACAACAGAAGAAAAGGCATGCAATGCAGCCAATAGTTGTGTCAGCAAAAGCCATACAACAGAAGAAAAGGCATGCAATGCAGCCAATAGTTGTGTCAGCAAAAGCCATACAACAAAAGTTTTGACTGGCCAGTCTAGAGGATATTAACACTGTGAAATCCTCAAAGGATCCGAGGTATCAGCAAAAGCCATAACCTTTAAAACGATCCATCCGGTATCAGCAAAAGCCATAACCGTTAAAAATCCATGGTATTAGCAAAAGCCATAACCAAAATCCAAGGTGGTATTAGCAAAAGCCATAACCAACAACTGAGTCTCTGATATCAGCAAAAGCCATAACCAGAGATAGACTCATAACTTCACACAACAGTATAATTAGTTCTTTTCTAGATTTTGAGAAAAGAATCACGCCGGGGTCACTACTTTGTTGAGCTCAGAAAAAAGGTCAACAATATTATAG